AAGCTACTGGACTGGAAAGGATTCGGTATCAACGTCAATGGCGAGTACATCACTCACCTTCGATTTGCCGACGATATAGTCCTTATGGCAGAATCGCTGGAGGAACTAAGCACTATGCTCAATGACCTCAATAGTGTCTCCCAACGGATAGGTCTTAAGATGAACATGGACAAAACAAAAAGCGTGTTAAACGTCCATGTCACACCTATGCCGGTAGTTGTTGGGAGCACTAAGCTTGAAGTTGTTGACGAATATGTTTACCTGGGACAAATAATCCGACTAGGTAAGTCCAACTTCGACCGAGAGGTCAATCGACGGATTCAACTCGGCTGGGCAGCGTTCGGGAGATTACGACATATCTTCTCATTAGACATACCTCAGACAAAACTAGATTGTTCAACCAATACGTGTTGCCAGTGATGACCTATGGATCTGAGACGTGGTCCTTCACTGCTAGCCGTATGAGGAAGCTCAAAGTCGCTCAGCGAGCTATGGAAAGGGCAATGCTCGGCGTTTCTCTGCGTCATAGACTTAAAAACGAGGATATCCGCAGTTGAACCAGAATAACCGACATAGCCCAAAGAATTAGTATGCTGAAGTGGCAATGGACCGGCCATATAGCTCGAAGGACCGACAACCGATGAGGAAGAAAGGTTCTCGAGCGGCAGCCTCGTACTGGCAGGCGAAGTGTAGGGCGTCCTCCCACTAGATGGAGCGATGATGTGCCTGGTGAGACATCCAGGAAGTCAATGGATGCAGGTGGCTCGGGACCGTGCTTTGTGGTATTCCTTGGGGTAGGCCTATGTTTAGCAGTGTACTTGTGAAGGGCTGTAATGATGATGATGATGATGATGATAATGTTGATGATGATTCTGTGAGAGCGTGGTACTACCTCGGTCGAGCCGATCCATTCGTACTACAATTATAATATAGCTGCAGCATGGCTCTACCACGTAAAACTACTTATCCTATTTATTACGAAAATGTTAATATAATATTAACAAAGTAATAAAACACCATACAATTTTAATCACAATTCACTAAAAAATGTCGGGCAAATGCATCCGATGCACAATTCGTTTGCGTACTCCCACATTTGCGTACCATACATCGAGATGATTCCATAAGTATTGCTTAATTTTGAACTCAAGTGTTGCGTTTCATATTAAAAAAAAAATATCCTCTAGGAAACATGAAAATTCACAAAATAAATACTTATATATGCATTAATTTTTAACATATAATATAAAATATACATATAAAGGCAACCATATTTTATTAATCATTCTTTAAGCAGTATTATTTGATAAAAAATCATTGAAAACCTAATGATCAGACAGTGCCACGATAAATTATATTTTTCTTTCATATTACTTATCTGCTTTTTTATTCCACTGCTTTTGATACATGCCTTTTCAAGAATGCGAACAAACATTGAAATAATTTTACCTATACTTCGCACGCCAAATAGGGTTGGGTTATTGAGCGTAGAGCCACTACCTTACTGCTCCACGTTGCCAGTCTGTGGAATTTGGGCTGGACATTTCCAAAATGCCATTAGTCGTTGGCGGTAACCTCGTTTGATAGTTAGCAGGATGAAACCGTGTGCAGGTGAGGTTGGCGCAATTTAGATTAAAAGGCCTCAGCCACATACCTACTGTCATTGCATACAACAATTTGATGTAACTATGTAAAAAGTATCTAATTCATGCTTAGATCAAAATATGATTTATTATGGCAAAATATCCCTATTGCCGATACATTCATACAGTAAAAACGGTCCCAGCAAAAGTCTCGGTCGTTAAAAAGCAAAACTATAAATTAATTAAAGCAAATCATGAACACTGAACATGCATAACAACTCACAAATTTTTTGTGAGTTGTTATGCTTTTGGAATATCTAAGTTCAACTATTGTTTTAATTTTACTTTTATTTCTTTATAAAATATTTATTACTCAATCGCTTGACATATATATATATGTGTTAAATTTGTTAGAAACTACTTCAAGTATCAAAATATTGAAACCGCTACAAAGTAAAGATTTTTTAAGAAGCGTATGCGTGTGTCCTGTCGTCCCGTCATTTTGAAAAGCGGTGGCGAATCGCAAAGTTCATGAATAAATATAAATTCGATATTCCTTTTGAATAAAAATGTCGAATAAAAAGGTGATTTATCAAAAACTGCAGCCCATTCATACGGGAATGTTCTTTTATATCGTTTAAATAAACATCGTTTTCGGAATCACATACAAAATGGTGCGTAACAAATTTAAACATTTTTTTCAACATACTTATTTTGTGGGACAAGACGTTCTAATGAGTGGCGAACACCCACGCTATAATGATGCAGCATTTTCTTTCATAATTCAACAATGTTTGCAAAATCTATTCACAAACGCGCGAATTATAGTTAGATTTAAAGGTCTGTCGATCAATATATTAATCCTTGGTAGGTACTAAGCTAAAAATATCAAAATATTTTTTTTAATAAAATATGTGAAAACCATATAGGGTGTGGCAGAAGCGTCACTCTGAATTACACAGTGAAAAATGGAGTGATAAAAGAAAAGGTTTTAAGATGTTGTGACTAAGATTAAGAAAGGAATAACGATGAAGAAGGAGGTGTGTGAGTATCGTGCCAAATGGAAGTCCATAGTCTCTGCCTACCTCTCTGAGTGATAAGCATGAGAGTTTATGTTTATGTAAAAATATCTGTACATCCCATTTGCCATAACTTTTTCTCTGCGTATTGGGAGAAAAATCTTGAATAATGACAATAGTATTAGCGGTCTTAATATTGTCGATCAAACGGTTCTTTTATCTACGCTAATTCGTAAGCTTCTTAGTTCTTCGCTGCGTAGTCAATTATTAAAAAACATGAAAACACTTCCTAACTGTCTGAAATCTTTAGGTGAATCTCTTTACTCTATTAGTGTAGGTACTTGAATGAAGTACTTATAGCGTCTGATATATATAAAATCAAAAACGGATAGTTTTACAAAATAATGAACACAATTAACTTAATAAATATAACAATTTCTCTTTCAGCGAAATAGACACAATAGAAATGTTTATAAATGATTCACGGGACAGGGAAAGGGTACAACTACAACACGCTAGCTAGCACAATACTGGGTTTTGTTTGTCAAATACAACGATCTCACTCAAACGTAAATAAGAGTATAAGAGTATACAAAAGGTTTTATAAATTAGTCATCATCCAAGAGCATTTTGTTAGCTGTCTTTAAAAACCCATATGAGCCTAAACAATTACACAAGTATCGTAAATTTGAAGTTTATAACAGATGTCGCTACTTGTGACTGTGGTAATGTTTTTTGTTACGCATTGAGAAATTAGGGTTAAATAATAGTTTATCAGTTTCTAGAGTATTATATTAATACACAAAACAATGCCTCAGTAGTTTGATAATTAATATAAAATATAACTAATAATACAGAAAGCAAGCTTAACCGTTACATTTTCCTGAGAAATTATCTTCACTGCTATGAAATCTGTCAATATTTCACCTCTTCGCAAAGTGGCGCCGCCCCAGTGAATGCCCTGGGATACGTAACACATAGAAACGGTTATAAAAATTAAAAATGAATCCTACAACTATACGCAAATTAAAATGCATTCCCTAATTCACCTGCCAATTGTAGGTAATCCTTTATCCTCGCAGTTCGATAAAGATAAAATTAAGAGTGATGTTCAGTTCGACGGTAAAATTTAACTCTAAAAAGCTTAATAAAAAGAAATGTTTTAAAGCCTTTGATTTTTTTGGCTGCAGGCCTTATGGCCAATTTTACAATAAATTCAAAAAAATTACGGCCACACTGTGCGGGTAGGAATTTTGGTGGTAACTTGACATCCGGCAACTTAAAAGTTACAATTATAACAGTCGTCTTGTTTCGGTTTTTTTTTACAAAACAGGCCGTTTGTCCTCATATAATAATATGCAGATCAGTCCAGTGATTAATCCAAGTCTATATCCGAATTGTCGCTGTCACCAAGCGATACTGTTATAATGTATCTATCTATACGTGAAATTGTTAGTTTATTTTTGAATGGTTATGTATGAGTTTCGTAGGGACAAACCATTGTTTTTGTGTACACAGATTTCCCCCCGTAACAAATGGCAGACAGCTCTGTATCAGGAAAAAACGCTATGGCTACTCCCCACCGGTGACCCGTCTACGGTGACGTATCAGCATACTGTGATCAGTTTCGGAACTAAATACAAATCAGACTAGGCTGTATGGGATAAGACCTTCGCCTATCTTAATTGGTAAATAGTAACAACAATAAAATCCTGTGAAGAGATGCTGATTTTTCTTAAGAAAAAAGATCGATTTTCAATAATTTCAATCGAAGTCTAAAGAATAGATCCAGAAAAATTCGGATTCTAGAATATCTATTTTACAAAAACCGTAAAAACATACATCACCAGGCACTCCTTCAGACCCGGAATAATTGTTTGTAAGCCAAACATTTATTTCGTGTGAAATTTGAGCTCACGACTCTGAAGCGCCACAACCGAACGCATAGCTACTTTGATACGAAGCCGTCAAGCTAATTGTAAATATTTTTAAAGATGCATTGCATTGTCGTCACAGAAATAAGAAAGTACACTATCCCTTATCATTCCGTGTGTGTCATTAGAGGGGACAGAGGGAAACTGAAACAAGAGATGGACAGCTGCATCTTCTTGAAAATAGCTCAAAATAATAAAAAACTACGGTTGCCAACAAATAATGGAAGAGGCCCATATTCAGCAGTGGACTTCTGAAAGCCTATGAATGAAAATATTGTTACCAAAACAGAATAAACCGAATTTTCATTTTTTAAGTGTATAAGTGATTTACCAGATCGATCCATTGTTAAAGATAGATTAAAATCGATTTATGTAACCCAAAAAACGATTATTTGATTAATCATTTTGAGATCGCATCCCTAACGTTGTATCAAGTGTTTGACAGTTGACGGTGACGGCAGTTTGACAACATCATTTTACCGAAACCGAATCGTGACTTTCAAATTTATTATTTTATAACATTTGAACAACATCCTCAAAATTATTGTAAGTACTACTAACTTTTCGGATACTTTTTTCATGCTTACCTATCTAAATCAAAATTTACTTTGGTTTCCCTTGTAAAAATGAACAAAAATTTAATTTCAGTGAAATGGCGGCTTCCGTGATCAACACTTATGCTGACCCTTGTTTGCCTGAATGGATGAACGCACCGCATAGTACAGGCACCTCAATTATGGCATGCGAATTCGATGGAGGTGTTGTTATCGGAGCGGATTCTCGCACGACTACGGGCGCTTACATTGCGAATAGAGTAACAGACAAACTGACAAAGATCACTGACCATATATATTGCTGCCGTTCAGGCTCGGCTGCTGATACACAAGCCATTGCCGACATCGTAACATACCACCTGAGTAAGTTGCATAGAGTATGGTTAGACATATACACATCTTTGAATACAATAACGGTTACTTTACTTCGTTTCTTAATTCCGGTGACTAAATTAACAATTACAGATGTCAAACTTTTTTGAATAATACCTAATATAGATTTACAATTAATTCTGATTACTAAATATTACTATTTAAATTACACTAAAATAACAGCACTTGAAATTTCATTTAGTCACTGGAATTAAAAAATATACTAGATAGAGTAAAATTTAAAATATAATAGATGCAAGTGAATGACAAAACTTTACCCCACTCCCTGCATGTATTGCCTGCCACTGTCAGCAATGCAGCCTTGCCACCTTATTAACACCCTCTATCGAACGTCGTCAATAATGAGTTAGTAATGAGTTGGTGCCAGGTTGTAGGAGACATGTTTCGCTGATTTCGGTGCCCCCTGATGACGGTGACCATTGCAGTCACACTGCGCTAGGGCCACCACTGTGCAGATATGATCCAAACTAACCAAAATAATAGATCCAGAGGCTCTTTTTAGTTTATTATAAGTCTTATGAACAAGTGATCTCAGAATCTACATTCCATTTTCTGTAAAATAATATAAGATACCGTTGCCATTACAGTCTATTAGTCCACTGCTGTACATAGGCCTCCCCCTTATATTACCTCATAGGAGGGATATATGAAATAGTAAATAATAGAATAGAAATAGTGGCTATGCTTGGCAAGCGGGTTGGCAACCGCAGTTTTTTTATTTTTGGTCGTAATTAAGAAAATACGCCACCTGCAGGATGATATGGGGTAGTAGATATTCTTACACAGTCACTACACCGTAATAACATAATATAATAGGGTTTCGGCCACAAAAAAAAACATTTATCTTTAAAATCTGAATAAGTTTGTTTCCATGGGTTTCATCATTTCTGCACAACAAGTTCCAATTAGCAGTTGCAATAAATTGACACCTTTGTCTTATTTCTGCTTCTTACAATTAGCCTGTATATTTTTGTATAGAAATTGAGGTTACATCATAATATACCAAGCTTAAATTTGATATTTAGAGTTTCAAAACTTCATTGATTTTTGAAAAATAAACTAGTCTGTTACAACTAAAGAATATATAAATATGATGATTTAATTGATCACTATATTCTCCATTTTTTTATGGAAATTTTGTATTGACAACTTTAAAAAAGTATTTCAGTTGACTAGTGTCAAATACTCAAATTAGGTATCTGAATATTGCATGCATTAAGCAATATATTTGAGTCAAAAATAATTTTATTCTTTTGTCGTCATCACACTGCATATTATGCAGCTGTAATAAAAAAGATTAACATGTTTTATATGCTAGATAATTTTACATATTTTATATTACATTTACAAGTGGTAGAACCATGCTGCAGCTACACTATGGTTGTAGCACGACTTTCACAGAACACTTGCGTAAAATACAGATTAATGCTGGTGTGTTTTGTATGGTGAGTGTAGAAAACTGAAGACCCTTTTTACTGGGAATGAGGCATTCCATCTTAGTCCTCAGATGTGACAACACATCTGCGTTTTGATTCTTAATTGAGGATAAATGTAGATGTTTATGGGCTACAGCATCCACTTAGCATCAGCTGGACTGTGTGCCCGTTGGTTACGCTTATACTACAAAATATATATACCATAAATAACATATATATATATATATATACTGGCTGTGTGTATGTGACTGAACTCCTTCTAAATGGTTGGACCAATCATGATGAAATTTTTTGTGTGGACCAACTTATGGTTCGAGAATGGTTTAGATTCACAATTGAACCCAGTAAGTGGCGCTGTTGTTGAGATCTAGAAATCACCCATGCAAAGCCTAAGCGGATATCTAGTCTATACTATAATACAAAATTTTTATAAATTTTACTTTAATACTATAATCTTTACAGATTTCCATAGAATGGAGCTTGGTGAACCTCCTCTTGTGCAAACAGCAGCTGCAATCTTTCGTGAACTCTGTTACAATTACCGTGACTCATTAGTTGCTGGTATTTTAGTTGCTGGCTGGGATAAGAAGAAAGGAGGTAACTTTTACTTTAACTTATTAAACTCAAGTAGAAGAAGTGACAACCTGGTAATACATGCAGGAAGTCGATGGATGCAGGTGGCTCAGGACCATGCTTTGTGGCATTCCTTGCGAGAGGCCTCTGTTCAGCAGTGGACTTGTGAAGGGCTGTAATGATGATGGTGATGATGATGATGCTGAAGCTCAAGTGACAAACATACTGCCTGTCCTCCTGATGGCAAGTTGCTACTGCATGCATCCCATGAACATGTTCAATCAACTTACAACAAATAAGGAGGCTACAGATATATTGTCATCTCCGACAACACATCATATGGATTACCTTACAGCCTGTAGTTATACTGGCTCTCTATACCCTTCGGACTGGCACATAACACTGCACACACTGCTGTTTGACTGCAGAAACATACAGAGATAGATTGCTCAACAGAAAAAGAGTCCTATGTCCTAGCAAAAATCTCGAGGATTAATCGATTTTATCTTTTTTTCTATAAAATAAAGGTGACAAGCGAGCACACAGTCCACCTGATGATAAGGGGTTTGTGTGGCCCGTAGACATCTACATCTATCTTCGATTACGAATCAAAATGCAGATGTGTTGTCACCCGTGAGGACTAAGATGGATTGCCTCATTTCCAGTAAAAAGGGTCTCCAGTTCTCTACACTCACCATACGAAACACAGCAGCATTAAGCTGCTATTTTACGCTGGTATTCTGTGAGTGTGGTCCTTCCCCGGTTGAGCCGACCCATTCATGCTACAACTATACAACTAAAATAGCTGCAGCATGACTCTACCACATACAAAAATGTCTTAACAATAATCACTAGTTTACCAAAAATTATTAGTAACCTGATGAATTAAATATCTTGTGAACTGCTCAAGAGGTTTTCAGGTCTGGATATTAAGTTATTGTTTGAATGAGTCTGTCTATGATATTTGGAACTGCTTAGATAAGGGTGATTGATTGCCAATTTTAGCTCATACACTGCTATTATGTGCTGCACAGTTAATAGCTTCCAAAAATACTTTAAAGTTATGCAGTTGTCACCATTTTGGAAACGAGCAAGAAAAGCTTAATCTTCTAATATAAAGTATTTATTTAAAAACAGGACAAATCTACTGCGTACCAATTGGTGGGATGGTTCAACGCCAAGCAGTTTCCATTGGTGGATCGGGGTCATCATATGTCTATGGATATGTTGATGCCAACTTCAAGCCCAATATGACAAAAGAAGAAGCTGTGAAATTTGTTACAAACACACTCACACTGGCTATGTTACGTGATGGCTCATCTGGTGGTGTGGTTCGCTTGGGGGTGATCACTGAAGCAGGTGTTGAGCGCACTGTGATCCTTGGTGATCAACTGCCCAAGTTTTATGAAGGTTAAATAAAACTTTGGTTTATATAAATAATATTAGTTAATAAAATTTTTGTAAAAAGAAAAGTTGTACTTGTTACTGCACCTTAAATTAATTTATTAATTAGAGGACTTTCTTGCGGACTGACCATATGCATAAAACTCTAATACAAAATCACCACAAACAGAACATTCTTATTCCTAAATAGAGAAAACTCCCAAGTTGTTAGTAATGTAATGTAAATATGTATACTATAGTGTTACTGTTCTGGATTCCTCCGACCATTGCACAAAATGGTTAAGTTGATCATACAAATACTTATCCCACTACTTTTTTGATGCATTCCTTTAATGTTGACTGATTGCCGACGATTTTAATAGCCTACATAATTATTATTAATTAGACAAATCGCACACGCAAGCTAAAACTTTATTGCTGCGTGTGTGTCCGTATTACTTTGCATCTTTCTTCTTTCCCCTTAGGCCAGGAACTTACGACGGACTTTCCGTGGTTACTAAAGGCTGTCAATAATGAGTAAAAAAATACTTTGCGAAATGGTAAGTAAGTTACTTAGGTAAAGTTACTTATTCTGACTATGATCTGACTGACCATATTTTCGAAACTATGTGAGTTCTGTAATCCGCAACACACGCAACTTGCAAGGCGATGCATGGCTCGGAAGAAATAGATAGTATAGACAATTTGATCATATTCTCCTTGTTAAAAACTACTTGTAAACAGTTTTAATTTCATTTCATTATTCTGTGTTATCATAACTTTTAATTACAAAAGACAAAACAAAGTATAGGTATGTAAGTAGGTACTTGGGTAGTAAAGTAAATTTCAACTAAGTTTTGTAATAAAGTACTTAGGTATTACTTTTGTAGTTAAATCATTACTTAATTCTTTTTTCAATATAAGTACCTATCTAACAAAAAAAAATTAAATAAATTCACCTTTCATTATCCTACAGTAACTTAAAAAATGATACATCTGAATCCTTTTGTTTGCTCATTAAGCATCCATCCACGCTACATTTATATTAGGAACGACATTTTGTCATTATAATTGGGTGACTCGAACTTTAGGCCTAGTGAGTTTGAATAGCCTATCATGTAGAGGATGTCATGGGGGTCATGGTTGAATAGGGGCAAAAAGTTCTCATTACACTCTTAGGGGGTCTAAATGGCCAAAAACCAAAAAATTAAAAATTATTATTTCGGCTATAACTCCGCCTCCTTCGGAGGTTCTTACACAGTGTTTACTTCCCGCGTCCTACTTGTTTATCAAATACACAGGTAATATACATACAAATTATTTTTAAATTACATTAAAACTTTTTAACTCTTTATCTTACAATTAAATATAATATACAAAAACTATTTCCACAATTATTTACGGAAACAGCGTTAAAAAACTTAAACATTAAATCGCCTAGAATGCGCTAGCCCCGACTGCATATGTAGCCCGGGGCGCCTCGCGATTGTAGGTAATTATTTCACGCAGGTAGCAAGAGTGACAGAGGCCTGCTTTTATACATACATACAATCACGCCTCTTTCCCGTAGGCGTAGGCAGAGACCACTTCTTTCCACTTACTACGATCCTTACATACTTGTTTCGCTTCATCCACTTTCATTTGACTTATTAAATATTAATATCACAATAAATTAGGGCAAAGTCAAACTAGTTTATGGAATTTTTTGATTAAGCATTTATTAGATATTGGTATACCTATTTACAATCTTAATTGAAAAAGTATTTTACACCCAGAATACTTACAACTTTCAGCAAAAAATTATAATTATATTTCATGCCTAACAGAAATCAACAAAAAATACTCCGCAAACAGTTTCAAAAAACTTATTCTATAATAGGTATGCTTACATATTATTTAACTTCATGCTTTTCCCCCACATGGGTTAAATTTCAATAGGTATAATACAAAAAAATTATTTGGAAAATATATGAATCCATATAGGTATCTTACGGCCTTATTCTATATAAAAAAAATATTCTCCTCTTAGAATAAACTGCATTACAGAAGTGATTGTTGACAGGAACCTTTACATAATTCTGAAGATAGTGAAAAAAAAATCAGGTTGTAGTGAAACTAGTGATTTAAATAGATAAGTTAATGAGGTGTGCAAAAAGAAAGTTCCGGATTTTATCAAATCAGTAAATAAAAATAGGAATTCTTCTGTACGCTTATAGACATAGGTCCCTTGTATAGGAAAATCTTTTTTTATATATTTTTAAATAGAATAAAGGTGACAAACGAGCACACAGTCCACCTGATGTTAAGTGGATGCTGTGGCCCATAGACATCTACATTTATCCTCGATTAAGAATCAAAATGCAGATGCGTTGTCACCCCTGAGGACTAAGATGAAATGCCTTGTTTCTAATAAAAAAGGATCTCCGGTTTCTACACTCACCATACGGAACACAGCAGTGTCAAGCTGCTATTTTACGCTGGTATTCTGTGAGAGCGTGGGCCTAACCCGTTGGAGCCGACCCATTGGTTCTACAACCATAATATAACTGCAGCATGGCTCTACCACGTTATAAACCACTTCTTCGGCAAACAAATTTAAAACTCAGTATTTTTAATTATTATTTTACTGGTAGGTAAAATAACATCACTTTTTCACCTTTGAGTATTTTCCTTTATATAAAAGTAGTAACTTGTAAATATACATGAAAATTTCTCTTAAAGAATAATTATTAACTCTTAAAGGTTAATTATTCAAGTAATGACTCCAAGCTCCTCCATAGTATCCAGATCGCGAATCAGCATTTGAATAGTCTGCTTGGTGCGAGGAAAATAGTCCGCAGTTTCATCATCTTCGAATGAGGGGTCCTGGGATTCAAGCTCTGAAAAAAAAACACTTAAAAATTAAAGGCCAGTCATGGGTACGAAAGTGCCCTATAAAAAATAAGAAGCGAAAGATTTCTTTAACACTAATGTCATATAGACATCAGATTGTATAAAAACACTTCATTACATTGTATAAAAAAATTATCTCATTATGGTAGCATCATGATGCCATTTTACGCTAGTATTGTGTGAGTGTGGGGTCCTACCCCGGTTGCACCGACCCAATCATAAAAGTAAAGTAACGGCCTATATATGTCCAACAGCTGGGCACAGGCCTCTTACTCTTGACAGGTTTAGGAGCAATGAGGGCATCCACGGCTTTCTGTCACCAGGGCGGCGCCGCTTAGGAATAAATAATTTTATATTTATCATTAATTATTATTGTGGTAGAGCTAGAGCCCCGCCGTAGCTGCAGCAATAACCAGTGCCATAGTAGCTCAGGTAAATGCTCGCGGTAAAAATCACAGTACGCGAGCAACACGGATTCGATCCCGGCACCAATGAATTGTTAATTGAAATTGCATGTGAAGTCTAAAAAATAAAGTATTTCGAAGGGTATTAGAAGTCTGTCAACACGCTCTGCAGCAGCTCATTGGACTAATGAGGACTTAATCATACGCTCACCAGATGTCGCTGGTTGGGACTAAGATAAAATTATTTGTTATGCAGATGTGCAGTGTCATCATCATTGAAATGTTGCGATATAACCAAAAGGTATTTGATTTGATTTCTATTATATTATGTGCAGTGCTGTATTCTTTAACCGATTCGTCGCGGCACCAATTTTCGACAACTTTTAGCTGTGGCGGCGAACAAATATTTCATGACACGCCTATTGTGCCATCCGCCATGTGTAAAAGTAATGTTTTTTTTATGCTTTTTTTACTTGATTAGACCTAATTAAGTTTATTTGACATCAAACATAAGTTACAAATGGAAGGATACTTGTTTTTAGTGGGTAACTACGTGTTTTTTACGTGTTTTCTTTGAAATTGAGAGTAAGTAACTTTTTTTATGAAGAGATTACAAACCTTTTGTACTATCTTTTGTTGTTATAAAAAAATCATTTATATAAGTAGGTACAGCTAAATCACCCTGGAAACCTTGGTTTTTATTAAATTAAATTTTCACCTAATAATAACATTTGTAAATATCAAACAATGAAGAACCTTAATTTGAAAAAAAAAGGTATATCATTAATTGATAATTACAAATGTTAAATATTATTTAATGTTATACAAATGTAAAAGTAAAGTCGATCTGAAAACGTCTAATTAGTAAGAATAGCAAAACAAGTGTTTTCAAAAGGAAAAAAACGCCGGCGCTATACGGCGGCGGATTGACAAAAGACTATTTATTAGCGAACTTTTTTTATGCATTAACGGTTTCGAACTGTTTCAAGCAAAAATAAACCTTATACCATATCACAAGAGCACATGGTACTTAGCATTGTGTTTTTTAACAGGAGACTTGTTTTCCAGAAATTTATTTACAACTTGAGTTTGTGAGCGATCGCTATGAGTGCTATTATTTGTTACTTATTAGACAATTTTTCCATAACATGATTTAAAACCCACAAAGTAAAAATAGTACCATGTACACGTTAAAAAAAGGTTGTCAACCCCTAAAAATTTCAAATTTTCGAAATATCCAGAAACGAGGCTGCATGCATGAACTACTCGAAAAATAATGAATATTTTGTTCTGGATAAATTTTCCAAAAAAGCAATTTGAGCGAGTTATAACGATTTTTAAAAAGACACGACTCGCGTGTCGTACGCCACATACAAAAGTAATCGATGGCACGCCTGGCGTGTCACCCACACTGAACCGCTTACTTTATCCATGATTAATATAAAATATAACTAATATTTCAGAAAGAAACATTAATCTCTACATACACTTTCCTCGCAAATTAATTTCCTGAAATAAGTGGCGCCGCCCTAGTGACAGAAAAAGTGGATATTCTTGGATGCCTTTTTTGGATGTTCATTGACGTAGATATCGTGTGACATACATACAAAAAAAACTTTTCTGAAGGATTTTTTTTCATATTTTTTTATAGAAGACGGGGCAAACGAGCATGCGGCTCACCACACTACACTGATCGTAAGTGGCTACCGCCGCTCATGAACAAAAACAAAAAAAAATCGGCTAAAAACGATATAAAAGGTTCGTACTGACCAGCGACCTGCGCCTCTATGGAGTCGAGGCGCGCGTCGATGAGCGCCTGGCAGCGCTGGATGTGGCGCAGCAGGCGCTCGCGGCACGCGCCGTTCTCGATCGCCGCCTCGGGCTGCGGAGCCGCCACCGCGCCCTCCGCCGCTGACGGACGCAACCAGTGCAACATCACTATACTGCCGTGCTTAGCAACACTTCAGTACACACGCACACGTACGTACGCACACATACATACACGCACGCACGCACGCACACATACATACACACACGAACGCACACATACATACACGTACGCACGCACACATGCATACACGCACGCACGCACATATACACACACGTACGCACACATGCATACACACACGCATACATACACACACGCACGCACGTAAACGCAACCGTTTGGATGGGCGTAGATTTTTTATAACGTACACTGACCCTTCCGCCAAGAGTGGCAACTATGGTAAATCATCTTATGAGGCGATCTGTGAAGAAGTGCTTATGTTCAACAGTGGATTTTTTTTAAAACTTTTAAAGAAATATTGCATATGGCTTAGCCACTGTGGGTCAAAACACTAAACAATGTTATGTTATGTGTATATATGGCCTACAAATTTATTATTCCGGGTCTGGATGTTTGTTCATATGCAATTTATGTATACAAACCGCCTCCACGGTGTCAGAATAAATCCAAATGAAGTTTTTTTTTTTAAATTAGAATTTAAAATGTTTACTTACCTTGAACAGATTTCGCCAATCGTTCTAACTCAGTAGTACTAATAGGTAGGTCTAAAGATGCACCACCGGGACTCGACATCACCCCACTTAGTAAGGTTTGAGAGTTAAGGGAAAGTTCTCTGTTGCTATATCTCTCATCATTTTCTTCAGATAAAGGCGTACGGACATCCATTTGGATATCATCGGTTTTCAATGGCAAGTTCTCCTTCCCAATGTTATTAATTGTGATATTAAGGTCTGAATAGTCAGAGTTCAACTTCTCCTGTGTCATGTTTAGCTCTGCATTCTCCCAGTCTTTTGCCCACAAATATAATTTTGGATGATTCTTTTTCCTACAAAAAAATTAAGTGTTTCAATTATTATATTTCGGATGTTTTCCAAATTTAATGTTTGAGTCATACACAGATTTCCACGTCTGAACAAAGGATTCCTCATGATTTCACTAGCTGTATAAATGCACAATCAACAGCTCAAAAACTTCCAAACCAACAAAAAATTATTTCTAATGGCAATATATAAAGTTATGGCCAATATTTGCAAAGAGAGTTATGGAGCAGTTAATGACTAACTTGCTATATGTCCTGGAAACTACACTAGGCGGATGACTTGGTGACCGTTAAATCGATACTCTCGATTTGGTAATACTACCCCCCCCCCCCCCCATCACTATTCTATGGTTTTTGATGTCGCAGTTTTTAATACATAAACCATTTGTCGGTCGCCGGACTCGTTCGTTAAATCAGGAAGGATGCATGCAGGAGTTAATTACAATCTTAAGTCCGCCTTTACTACTTGTGTGGCAGTCAAGGAAGGCATTGTAATATTACAAGGACATGAGAAGGCTGCCAAAACGAACTGGAGAGCATCACCCCGAACTAATTGCTCAGAATTGAGAGGCGGTTTAAGCCAAAGGCGAGATGTACGTAGGCGGAAACTATACTTTTCTCAATAGAGAAGGACACACAGCGTGCAAGTGACCTTGACATTTAAAAAAGTTACACCTTTCAGCGTTTTTTATTATCGGAACATGAACATACATGAACTCATACTAATACTCAAACGCTGCTCAATTTTAAGATGCCGTTAAGTTTCGTGCTGTCTCTATAACTTTTAGTATCTAGTTAAGAACTAGATACTAAAAGTTCTACACTCTACAATGTTTGTGATGCGTACAGCAAAGTAGTGGAATAAGTTGCCAGCATCTGTGTTTACATCCGATTACAACGTGGGTGTCTTCAAGGCAAGATTGATTAGACTTTTGTTAAGTCAGTGCCCTTCACCATCTTAGGCTACATCACCACTTAACATCAGGTGGGATTGCAGCTAAGCGCTGGCTTAGTATAATAATAAAAAAGTCTACGTGACTGTGACACCAAGAGACTTAACGATAGCTTAAAATTGAGTAGATTTTGAGTATTTGGCCATAAGTAAGTAGATGATTATTAGTATAATTATTCTATTTCACGATGAAGGTTTGACTTTGGTTGTTGTTAGCCGTGCACATACACATTGTATTAGTGTGCGTAGGCCTCAGGAGCGCTCAGTCACGATCGCGAGTCGAATCAATTGCAGTTACACACACAAACGCGGCTGTTGGTACGTGTCACTACTACAATCAAGGCGAAACTTTCGTAGTGAAATAGAATAACTATATAGAAGCATCATCCATCCATCCATTACAGCAGCAGGTTGGCAGAGAGCTCGTGCACGCGGTGCATTGCTGCTCGATTGTGATTGTGTCTTATTGTATATAAACATAAGGTGCAGGGTGCACTGACGTGGCGACGTGGTACTTGACGCGCAGTGCGTGCAGCGCGTCGCGCGCGCGCAGCAGGTTGGCGGCGAGCTCGTGCGCGCGGCGCAGCGCATCGTTCGGCCGCGCGCCCGCCAGCGCGCCCTCGTACAGCCGCTCCTGGTCGTGCAGAAACCTCTTCGAGCGCCGCCCGCGCCGCGGGTTAAGGCAGATGCTGCACGTGTACTTGTCCGGCACCTGGCCGCAAGATATAATACATTATTTATAGAAGACGGGTGACAAACGAGCACGCAGTCTACCTGATGGTAAAAATAGAGTGTAATATGTGAATGAAGCAGTAGCCTATGGCATAGATAAGATTCGCCAATTAAGGCAGGCAAAGGTCTTATACCATACAGCCTGGTGTGTTTTGTATTTTGTTCATAAAATTCTTCCCAATATGATGATGCGTCACATTGCAAAGTTTTTGGTAGATTTTGACGACAGCTTGACCCAGCGGAAAGTTAAAGACGATTGTATGTCAAGCCGCCCAAGACGTCAAAAAAATAAAAAAATCTTAAATTGGTTGTATCATCATCAAAGTATCTGTAACATCGCTTTCACTAATAGTTCACATGCGCAGACATTTAGTATCCGTACTTTGTTTTATTTAATACAAAATATGACTAATATTTCAACAAAAAACATGGAAGAACTTTACGCTTTTATAAAAATTTTACTTAAAAATTAAACTATTACTACACCCCGCCATGAGATCTGTCAAATAATTTACCTTATTCTAAAGTGGCGCTTTTGTTCATGGGACGATCTATCAAAATTCGCAATAAAGGAATGTTAACCTCGCCCAGAACAATCTGGAAGGGTCTACCACAGGGCTCGGTCTTAAGCCCTATTCTTTACAATATCTACACATATGACCTTGAACATTCGATTTCATCTTTCTGTGACATATTACAATATGCAGATGATCTTGCTATCTATGTAACAGCTCCTGATATCCTAACTGCCTCCCATCATCTTAACAGAGGCTTATATTATCTTAATCAATGGCTTACTGACCATGGCCTCTCTCTTTCAGCTTCTAAAAGCAAAATAATAACCTTTAGTAGAAAACGTGTTTTCCCTACTATTGATATCTCATATAATGGTGAATCTATTCCAGTTGTTAACAAAGTAAAATTTTTAGGTATTTTCTTAGATTGTCATATGACTGGTACTGCTCACTTTAATTACATCTGTGACAAATGTGAGAAAGGTGTTAATATTCTTAGATCCCTTTCAGGAGTATGGTGGGGTTCTCACCCCATGTGTCAAAAAATCCTATACAATGCCATCATCCGCAGTCACTTCGACTATGGCTCTTTTCTTTTGGAGCCCTGCAACAAATCGGCCCTTAATAGACTTGATGTTATCCAAACAAGATGTTTACGTATTATCACAGGCGCAATGAAATCAACTCCTAAAAATGCTTTACAAGTAGAATGTGCTGATCCCCCTCTCTCTTTACGAAGACAGTTTCTAGCTGATAGATTTCTCTCAAAAACTCTACAACTATCATCTCACCCCTTACATCGTAAACTAGAATCCTTGCTACTATTAGCTGTAAACAACTCCTACTGGTTTAATAAAAGCTGGCCCCCTATTCTTAAATCTCTAAATAGATTAAAAAATATTGGTTATCCTTGTGTAACATCCCTAATTCTACCCTATTTTGAAACCAGCTATGAAGCTATATTAATAAACCCTAAAATCACTCTGAATTTAAACATTAATAAAAATTCCCCCACTGCAAACAGAACTTTCTACAACCTTGTGGCAAAAAAATGGTCTGATTGGCTATATATTTTTACTGATGCTTCCAAATTGTCTCCATTCAAATGTGTCGGTTCCGCAGTCTGGATCCCCAAATACAAAATTGTCCTTAATTATAGATGTCCTCCTCAAGCTTCTGTTTTTACTGGGGAAGCTGTAGCCATATATGAGGCTATTTCCTATATTCTTTCCCATAAAATTCCTAAGTCAGTTATATTTACTGATTCAAAAAGCTGCCTAATGTCATTACAGAGCAATATATTTAAAATGAATTCCATCTCCCCATTAATACTGAAAATTAAGGAACTCATACTAAATTGTAATAAGAGTGGGCTTGATGTGGAGATTGTGTGGATTCCTAGTCATTGTGGTATAGAAGGAAATGAACAGGCTGACTCTTGGGCCAAAGGAGCTGTTGATACTGGCTGTCCTTCTCATTTAATGATTTACTCTCATGATCTAATGTCATTAGCTCAAATTGAATTAAAGAACTCTTGGAACAGAGAATGGAGCACATCCAGACATATTAAAGGTTGTCACTTTGGTAAAATTCAACCCCAAATCCCTCCAAAACCTTGGTTCTTTAAATTTAGCTTTTTGAACAAACAAATCACATCTACAATCTGCCGTTTAAGGCTTGGGCATGCCTGCACTCCTGTATTTCTAGCTAAAATTAGAATCAAAGATCATTCCCTCTGTGAATGTGGACTGGATGAAGGTACCCCAGACCACATTTTCTTTAATTGCCAAAATCACCCAATTTCTTTATATGACATTCTTCCCAACACAATCCCTCGACCAATGAATATCAATTCCCTCTTAACTATCCCCAATTCCATATATGTCAATATGATCTCAAAATATATTCAAATGTATAATATTAAACTCTAATTATCGTGTACTAAATTTAGCTTAAACTAATTCTCTATTCCCTGCCCAGGCTAATTCTCTCCTATAACTAGATGTTTGCTCTATATTGTGTGGTCCATAATTTATGTATTTAGTTGCTTTGTTTTTATCCATATTTTCACCTAATAACCGCTAACTCCTTTTCCACCGAAAAGCCTAAAGACAAGGTGCGACAGACCAAAGACCGGACATTGGCAGAATTATTGTGACATAATCACAATACCAAGGGCCAAATAGACCAAATAAATAATAAAGTGGCGCTTTTTACCTAGCGGCCAGTTCAAGATCAGGGTGTTACAAATTCTTTTATAATTCTCAAGTCTTAAAAAGTATGCACTAATAATTTAAAAAAAAAATACAAGATAATACAAGTCGACAAGAAATTTCAAAAGGCCACGGGCCAGTGTGTTTAATTAATTTTAAACAAACACGCAGTTGAGATTTATAGCTACGACTCTTTTAGTACATATAAAAACGTTTATTGAATGACCGCACTCTTCGTAATTACTACTATAACAATTTTATGATGTTCTTTTAAACCGTTTTTTGGCCAATGGGCATCGTAGAAGGCGACTATGTTGATTGTGACAGGTCTGACAGGTCAGTAAGACCTGTCACAATCAACAATCTCGTATAATATGCATAATAGGCATGTCAAGTATGGTGATTACGCAAATCCATTCGTACAATAGGAAAGGCGCATGTACAGCAGCGGACTACCAGAGGAAAATAGAAAAGAAAAAGAAGACTATTTATTCAACACTCAAGGAAATTTGACAGTTTTGAAATCAAAGTATATTTACTATACAAATTACATAAATCAAAACGTAAAATTACCTCTGACTCCTTTTGTATGTTGTGACAGAGTGCATGCTGCCAGCAAAGGCATAGCTCACACTGCACCATCAGGCCATCCTCCTCGCGGAAACCGCAATGACAATTTATAATCTCTTCACGTTTCATCTGAACTATCTTTATGCGCTCGCCATCTAAAAGAATAATAATCCATACGTTATAATTCGCCCCAAAATTCATTATAGAATAAAATAAATTTGACGAAACACGTGGACCAGCTTACTTTCAGTGTACATATACATCGATTCCTTCTGTTCCTCGTTGGACTCTGATGAAGCAGCTGCATTAGTATATGATTTATTATCCATTGTCTTTGAATCCGGTGTCGCAGAACCGGGAAAGCTGGACCTTGTCTCTACGTCGGAGTTCATAGTCAACCACTCTTCATCCTCACTCATTGATCTTTTTGCAAATGAGGCGAAACCTTTACGCCTCTTCTCTCCTTTCCTTTTACCATCTACGACTGGTTTTGTGACAGTATGAGTCGATATGGCAGTTTCGAAATCTAGTACTTGAACTTCTGGTATATTAACTGGTGTATGCCCTCTTACGTCCAGTCCCACTTCTTCTCTTCTGTCAGTTACTTCTGATTCGGGTCTTCTCACAGGAAGTAGGACACGAGGTCTTTTCACTGGTTTGTTTGCGAGCGCATTACGCAATTTTGGGGAATCTTGAGCCTTTGAAATATTATCTACATTCTTGGTAGGTGAAAGCGGTATATCCACTTGAAGTTCAGAATCAAGCTCTTTCATATCTATTTTTGATTCTTCAGTGCGTTTTGGTGGTCTTGGTATTTTTACCTTTATGATTTTACTCTCTGTTTCGTTTCTTTGTCTTTTCATTTCTGCTTCCGTAGGTTTTGTTCTAGCATAGGCTAAATCTAGGACCTTTGGCGTAGCACCAAGCTTCTTCCTAAGTTCCCTATGATAATGTTTTATGTGCATCTTTAACAATGTGTTATTTCTGAAGTTCTTTAAACAACCGTCAGCCGGACAGCGCAATAAATTTTCAATAATTTGAACTTTTAATGCCCCAACATAGACTGAAATTGTGATTGATATATTAAAGTCTCCCATCCTTATCAAATGAATAACTCTAAGAAAAATAATTTAAAGAAATTTAAGGATGCTTTTATAGAATTAAAATTTAAATCAAGATTTGGAATTGAAAAACTGTAGACCAAGCAATTGGCAACGGCACTGACAGTTGCGGGTTCGATTATTACATGGAATTAGTGTTTGTATAATTCTTCCGTGCCTAAGTGTTGCACATGTGTGAATTAATGTACATTTCGTGAAGAAAATTCCTAACTTTTTTTTTTAAATTAATCAAATTTCGTTTCAGTATTAATGAGTTATATTATTGTTTATTGTATTACACAACTAGCTTTCGAAAATAGGCTTTATTACTACTATATAAGTTTAAAATTACCGTATCCATCTTCTAATGTTGGATTGTCGTCAATAGTTTCAGCGTGCATGGCAAACGGTTCTAAATCTGTTGCAACGTTACTTGGCCCTGGTAATACATCATTAACACGATGTCGCTGAAAGGAGGCATAATCGTGACACTAAGAAATTTAAACTAGAAAATATTTTCGTTTCATAGGTCGAAAATATTTTTTTTTTTTACATAGCATAAGGGTAACAAACGAGCACAGTCCACCTGATGGTTAGGGGTTACTGTAGTCCATATATAAATATAGATGTTATATTTATCCTCGATTACAAATTAAAATGCAGATGCCTTTGACAACGGTGAGTACTATGATGGAACACCTAATTTCCAGTAAAAATTGAGCTGCTATTTTACACTGGTATTCTGTGAGAGCGTGCTCCTTCCCCGGTCGAGTCAACCCAGTCGTGCTTGTCATGTCATGGCTTTACCACGTAATTTTAATAAATTCTGAATGAAATTATAAATTTAAACATATTTAAGTAATTTTGTTTACCCTCAGATAAATAATACAAGGAAATTTTAGAAAGTAACATGAGACATGACTACAATTTTACATATTATTACTTTCTCCACCTCTTCCAATAAACAATAAATTTCTTGTGTTTAAATAAATAAAAAATAAAAATCGCTATCTTTATTGAAGATCATCATGATCATCTTTCAACTGGTGTATATAAGAGATTACCTTATAAACCTTGATATGCTGCAATGAATGACTGAAAATGAATTTATATTCTGTAAAAGTTTGATGAAAAAAATTAGCGCAAGTAACAATTATGACAATGAAAGCAATGTATCGCACAAGCACTTTAAAAATACAACATTTTTGAGGAATATTCATGCCAAATGAATTGAATATCAATATTAGGATCAAAAAATGTTATGTACCCCTCACTTTAAATGATGAATCTCTCTATGATGGCAAACTATCGCAAAATTTAGTCGCTAGTAGAAGTTTAAATACAATATAGTTAATAATAATACTTAGTAAAAATACATACTCGTGTAAGTACAGAAACGAAAAATGAAAACTAACCATTTTTCGAATTTTGCCACCCACGCCCAACCTTCTCTTCTTCTGCTTTGTTTTAATAATACCCTTTACCCGATTCAGGCTTAATTTTTTTCTTTTCACGAGAGGTGATGTACTGCTCATCAATCCGGCTGGGAGCGGAATGACTGGCTCTTCTGTACCGGTCTGCGTGACCCATCCCATACGTCTTGAGAGTTTAAGATGAACTCCGAAGTCAAGTAATGCATATTCGTATTGTTTGAGTTCTTCACTGGGATTTTGCTCGAGATAGTTTCGCATGTCCGTTTTCGTATGGAAGCGTCGATTGTCCGGACTGAAATCACGATTACGTGGTAGAGCCATGCTGCAGCTATATTATGGGTGTAGCAAGAATGAGTCTCCTCGACCGGGGTAGGACCACGCTCTCACAGAACACCAGCGTAAAATAGCAGCTTAATGCTGCCGTGTATTGTTTGGTGAGTTTAGTGAAACGGAGACTTTTTTTAATGGAAACGAGGCATTCCAGCTTAGTCCTCAGGGGTGATAACGCATCTGCATTTTGATTCTTAGTCGAGGATAAATGTAGATGTTTATGGGCCACAGCATCTACTTACCATCAGGTGGACTGTGTGCTCGGTTGTTACCCTTATTCTTTAAAAAAAATAGTCACATTATTATATCATACATAGTCTTCTTTTTCTTTTCTTTATCAGCCTGCACCAGACCAAAGGTGGACAAGGGCCTCCCCCTCAGTATAGAAAGGATTTGCCAAAATCACTATGTTTAACAGGCGAATTGGCGATCAACTTTAAATCTGCAACGCCTGTCCGAGTTTTCACATCTGGCAATTAAGGGTTGGTGTACCGCCATCTTTCGGAGATAATTAGATATTTCCGGTTTTACCCATAGTTGAATCTTACGACTCTAACGGACTGAAATTGAGTGATGGATTCTGTCAAGCCACCACTACACCACATAGTATGTATTAATCGAGTTTGAAAAGTAAATATTGCCAAGTGTTTATAAGAATAAGCCGAATTGTTCAAAGTTAAAGCAATATCATGTATTAGGTGTAACATTGTGCTCTACCATACGTATATTCAACAGTGGGTGTCGTGAGAGGCCAGAGAGAGAAATTAAACAGAAGACTGGCAGCTGCATCTACCTGAAGATAATTCGAAAAGATAAAAGACTACGGTTTCCAAAACGCCTGCCAAGCGTGGCAAATATAGCAAATATCACCCCTATGAGCAATCTATGAGGGAGACCTATATTTAGTAGTGATGGACTGTCTTAAAGATGACAGCAAAATAAGAACAAGCAATTATTTTCTTAGGTTCACTCTAACTGAATTACTCACACAAACTGAAGAACTTGTGCTAATAATATGCTTTAAAAATTTATCACATAATCGAAACATTACAATATCATAGATTAGACAGTCCACCAAACACAAAGTTACTTGCCTAACTAAAACAACATCCCATTTTCCAGCTGAATTTCCGAAGCTCCGTCGTACCATGTGCTTTGTCCATCCCTCAGGCAGCCGTTTGTCTTCAACCTTTAATATAGATACAATCATGGTATCATTATCATTCAATGTTACTTTAATGTTGTTAATCTGGTATCTAAAATTCAATCCATTATAGTAAAACGGATAGATATTCAGATGTAAATGGTAACCCCCACCCCTCTCCCTCCAAGAATAAAGCTATAGTTACTCATGACCATAAAGCTTTGTTGTACACATCACCCAAGGATTATCCATTGCATCTCTTACAATTCAAGTGTCAATTTTGCGATCTATTGAAAAGAAGTATACAACAGCCAAAGTGATCAATTCACTTACACTCTTAGTAGTAAGAGACTCTATTACGTCTACAATTTCAAATCAACATTATTTTCATACAGGATTAAACAGTACAGGGATTTAGCAGTTATGAAGGATAAGAAGATATCAGTCACTAACCTGAACACTTCGTCTTGGTAGAGCTGGCTTACTGTTTGCATCAACTTTAACTTCACCTTCTATTTCACTCACAGCTCCCACTGGTTGTCCATTCACCCATCTGCAGCACCACTCTCCAGGCAATAAAAAGCTTTCTGGCATTTCTTGCTTCTGCTGAGGACTAGATAACACTTCAGTTTTTAATAACATTTGTTTCTTCATCTCTTCAACCTGGCGTTTCATCTCTTCTAATTCACTTTTTACTTTCTCCACCTGCTTCTTAACCTTTTTTTCCTGCATCAATCTCAACTTTTTACTTTTTTTCAATTTAGACATTTTTTTAATCTTCCCTTCATTTGGTTCGGTTTTTATTTTCTCTGAATCCCCAACGGGTATTACGTTCGCCTCTTTATTTTCTTCTGGAGTAATGGTTACTTCTTGTTCTTTAACATTTTTGCTTTCCTCTTCTTTAACTTCCACCTTTGGTGATTCTATTCTTTCTGCCTTACTTATTCCATCTTCTAATTTGGTAATAACTTCTTTAATCCTATCAATAACTTCCTCATGCTCTCGGTCATCTATCATTTCAAAGTTTTCAAGTTTTGTTTCCTCTTCCAACACCTATATTTTTGGAAATACTTGTATAATTCTCATTAAGCATTTTATAGGCTACATCGTTAATGGAATCCATGCATGTTCTGAATTTTGTAGATAGACACAAAAATCCTTCAACACTTATATAATGTTATCTATAATGGATCAATAAATACTTAAATTATTAAGAGAAATAAAAATAAGGTTAAATTAGAATTTACTTACTGGATCAATACTGTTTTTAGTATCTGATATATCTGATTCATCATTTCTGCCTGAATCATTCAGTTGTTCATCATTTTCCACATTTTGAGGTAGTCTATCAAGATTGTGTATTGTCTGGTCATTAAGTGAAGTTATAGTTTCATCATCCAATATTACTTCCTGCTTAATGACCAACTCTTCCTTCGCCACCGTACCAATAATAGATGCTACAGCATCTGTTAAAAATATTAAATAATTATTATTTGCTTCGTTAAAATACCACCATATTAAAAAAAGAAACAAAGTAAAATGCAAACAATATAAAGTATAAATACCAGGAACTTCATTTTTTATTTCCGTTTTCACTTGCATGTCATTTTCTTCTTTTATTTTCTTTTGGACCACCCTAGGTTTTCTCTGCTTAACCGTTTTAGGCGCGGAGTCATTCGTATCCTCTTGTGGTTTTTGCTTTCTTCTCTTCTTTTGACCAATATTAAATATCTCTTTTATATTTAACTTGCGTTTCTTCTCGCGTCGCTCGCTTTTTGAACCTAAATAATCACGGGTTGGGTCAAAGAGGTGAGTGTGGAAAATAGGTAATTGTGGATCATTTAACCCTACAACAGTACTACTAGGACCAGCCCCACAAGGAATAGGAGAAGGATAAGCGGAAGATGATGATGGTGAGGATGTATCAACTGTTAAAAGGTCAGAATTTCTTTCTGAAGATTGTTTTACTTTATACAGCCTGCATGTGGTACATTTCCAATGGAAGCCATCATCAAATATAATTTCATAAGAGCCTGTCAATAAAAATAAAAAAAAAATAAGTGTGTTCGTATCTTTAATTTGACATGTTATAAATATTAAAATACAACTAACCATTGCCTAAATCTTTATTTACAGTAGCCATAAATCTTCGATTATCTTTCCATCGTGCCAAACACCTTTCTCCAACTACAAACTTTAATTTAGGTTTGTCTTCTTGCTTAATTTCTTCTTTTACTATGCTAGTTTCGCCTTTTACAGTTTCTGCATTAGTCACAGGGCTTATTGACTGTGATGGACTGTTACTGAATGGTCGCAGCCTAGGACTACTGATATTTATCCATTCATCATGCCTAAAAACAATAAAATTCAGTTTACATAATATATGCATTATATTTTTGTCATATTAATCATCAAATTCAATCAAATTTAATTACCAAAACTACTCTGTTGACTTTCATAGTTTGAGGGTATTGTAAATTGTAATTATATCAGTAATTGCACAAACAAGTTTTTTTTTAAAATAATATGAAAAATAAGGACTTAATAAGTCAAAAGTTTGCCTAATTTAGTTTGAAACTGTAAGTGCTAAATCACAACAACCATTTGGATACTATAAATGTAAACTACAAATCAAAACTGTGACCAATAGTCTTTCTCATAAAAATATATAAGTATAACCTACATCTCTAAGCCTATAATTATAAGGATTAATTTAATAGAAATCAATAAATTTCCGAAACTCTTCACCGCTGCATTGGAAGACGTTTTCAAGCTACTAGACTGGAAAAGGTACAGTATTAATATCAATGGCGAGTACATCACTCACCTTCGATTTGCCGATTATATAGTCCTAATGGCACAATCTTATTTTTTTCTTATTTTTTCTTTTTTTAAAACGTTACCCCCACCACACTAGGATTTTCTCCTGTATCGTGGAGGCAGTTTACAAACATAAATTGCACAAGGACAAACATCCAGACATGGAAAACTTATTTGTAGGCCATACAAATATTTGTTCCGTGCGGGATACGAACCCGCAGCCCCGGCGCAACAACTCATTGCTAAGCCACTGCGCTACAGAGCCGTCGAATCGCTGAAGGATCTAAGCACTATGCTCAATGACCTCAATAATGCCTCCCAACGGATAGGTCTTAAGATGAACATGGATAAAAAAAAGTAAGCTGAAGTGGCAATGGGCCGGCCATATAAGTCGAAGAACCGACAACCGATGGGGAAAAAAGGTTCTTGAGTGGCAGTCTCGTACCGGTAGACGAAGTGTAGGGCGACTCCCACTAGATGGAGTGACAACCTGGTAAGACATGCAGGAAGTCAATGGGATGCAGGTGACTCAGGAACGTGCTTTGTGGCATTCCTTGGGGGAGGCCTATGTTCAGCAGTGCACTTGTGAAGGGCTGTAATGATGATGATGATGAATATAGATTATTACATAATACTTATTGAAAGTCATTCTTTATTTACCACTGGTTCGGAAAATACCTCTGTCCTGGGAAGAACCAGCAAGGAACCCAGTGGGACTTTTTTTAAACATATTTCACTTTACAATAATTTTGTTTATACAAATTTTAAATGAGTTTTAATAGATTTGTTTGTATTTGTAGCGATTCCCTCATTGGCAGGGGTTTTTTCATTTATGTATTCTTCGACATTATATAACCCTTTTTTGTACAATTTTTCTTTAATAAAACATTTAAACTTGTTTATTGACAAATTACTGGGATTTTGTTGTAAGAGCGTATACATTGCCCCATAAATAAATTACTAATTTTGTGGAGTCTAGTAACTGGTATTACAAGCTTATGTTTATTTCTAGTGTTTAAAGTATGAACATATTTATTCTTATCAAAGCTATTTGTTTTTATGTACATACATTACATTTTCATAAATATATTACAATGCCAAAGTTAATATGTTTATTTTCTTTTAATTTTCTCTAAGGGACTCATTACAATTTAAGTTATAAATCGACCGTACGGCTCTCTTTTGTACAACAAATATGACTTCGATATCAGTTGCATTACTCCATAGCAAAGTTCTAAGTCTAAGAACTAAGTCTGCCTGCTAATTTAGATATATGGGAGCTTTGGGGCCCCATTGAAGCTTCACGTCAGTAGTAATACCAAGAAAAACAGTGGTATCCACAATAATAATTATAGTATGTTATTTTTATAGTTAAAATTGTCTATAATTATATTAATGTAAGTTTGCTGATATTGATACTAACTACTATAAAGAAAAACTAATGTAGGATAAGAAAGTAAGTATTTTATCTATGTACTATAACTAATTTATTGTTTAAAAATAAAATTATAAGAAGCTAGCGCCTAAAGGATAAAAAAAAACAGATATTTACATTTCTACCTTAGTTTAAACTACATTGAGATCCTTTAACACTGTTTTTTTTTATCCTTTAGGCGCTGTTTTTTTCTCAACGAAAACAGAGGTATATGTTTATAGTGGATATCTGTGTATGTGTATCTGTCTCTGTCTGTGGTGTCATAGCTCCTGAACGGATGAACCGTTTTTGATTAAGTTTATTTGTTTGTTTGAAAGGTGCCTTAACCAATAGTTCTTAATATATAATAGTTCTTAGCTGTTTCAATGGATTTTGCAAATTTTTTATTTTAGTTATTATTTACACTCCTTTATAACATAAAGTTATTTATATGTTTGTTTGTAAAAGGAAATCTTATCCTCTCAGGAGACAATAGATACCTTAAAACGTTAGATAAGTACTACAAATTATTCACTATAAAGCTTTGTCTTATTTCTAATCTGAAAACCAAAGTGTAAATAGCAACAAGGCATTGTTGTCATTCTTTTTCATCAGCCCATAAAAATCCACTGATGGACATGGACATCTGTCTCTCATTGTGGAGAGATTTATACTTACATACTTAGCAGGCGAATTGACAGTCACATAACTAAATTGGATTTGAGGCATTCCATCTTAGTCCTCAAAGGTGACAATGCATCTGCATATTAATTCTTAATTGAGGATAAATGTAGATGTCTATAGGCCACAGCATCTACTTATCATCGTATGGGCTGTGTGCACACACTAATTCTATAAAAAAAGTTCCAACACAGTTAAGTACCTCAGTACACCAAGGTTAATAAGGTTAACTCTAAGAGGCTGCTGGCAACATGAAATTTTTACCAGAGTTATTCAACAAGTTTAGGTGGATTGAATCCATATTCAAAATATATGCTTCTTTCAAGCAAAAATCTATCTGTGATAGAACTAAGTTACATAAGTATAACCAAGCACTGCTATAGGATAACATCCAATATGCTTAGTTCACAAATTCACAAATGACAATGTAACAGTGTTGCCATCTCCATCGAGTTCAAGTATAGTCAGGATAACTTAATGTTACTTACTTTTTAGAAGCATTATCATAATGCACCAATACTTCCATCTCATCATAATCTACCTCAACAATTTGAGCTGGATACCAAAATTCTCCAAAATCCTTTGCTTCAACTTTAGAACCAACTGTCAAAGCTGTACTATTACCTAAAATAATAAAAATCATAATTTTAACTAAGATTATATCCAAGTATGAAAAAGACATAATTTTCAATAAAAAATATCTTGCCTCTTTTAGCAGCACTAAGGCATTCTGTGTCTTCTTTTTTAGATAAGATTCGTGTCTCTGATTCATTTAATATTAGGTCCATTACACTAGTGGCTACAGCTAAAGTTTCCTCTTGCTTTTTACACTCTGGAAGTTCCTCTTTGACTTGACTCATGTCTGTATTAATTTGATCTTCTAACATTGAATGTTTACCCTCACATTTCTGCTCCTGTATCTCTTTTTCTTGGTCCTCTATAAACTTTTTAATTGCATCTAAATTTTCAGGTTCTGACTCTTTACTGCTTGATGATAAATCTTTTATATTTTCAACTGATTGCGCATTTGCTATATTGGAATCCATATTTGATAATTCTATAGCCCAAGTAAAAATTGATGGTACAGCATCTGAAATAATCAAGCAACCATATAGGAATATGGTAATAGGACGAAAAGGTTATGCCTCCCATGCATTGACTACAAAATACAAATCAAACTGTGGATGTGTAGCCTAGATGTAATAGCACTACTGGAAGTGATAAAACAAATTAAAACAACAAGTGGAAACAAACTACTATTGATAAACAGCTGTATATAGAGTACCTGACTTTAAAATATATTTAGAGTCCTTGTAAACTTGGAAGTCACTTTTACAAAAGTGACGGGAACACACATATGAGGTTGTTCCTACGTCAAAGTGTTTGAGCCGTGTAACAGATATCCATTTGGTGCGTAAAGATAAATCTTTAGGATACTTGTGATATGTCACACCTTTATCTTCTTTTCTAGTTGAACATGAGTGGCAGTTTTCAATACAACACTTTTTAACTGCCATCCTATGTGTAAACAAATTATTTAAAATGATTTTTTACATATTTTCTAAATTCTATTATAATTGATATAATAATTATTCAAATTAATCATTTAATTTATTAATATAAATAATTTAGTAAATATTTTCGAAACAAAAATATATTTGTTTATAAATAGTTCATTTGTAAAATTTACCCATTAAGTAAGTTTTAGAATTTAAATTATTAAGTCCTTATAACATGCAATCTATGAATGTATAGAGTTTTAAGGGTTATGAAGACAAATATTATGTACCTAAATATCTGTAATAAATGCGCACAGAACCATTCTTCAATACATTTTAAAAGAAGATAATCATTATTATGGATTTCGTAATCCGGATCACATACTTTGATATACCAATATTACCAATTCACACCATAATTGAAAATCTTAGGGTTTATTTATGTTTGACATAATTAAAGTAAAAAATTGAACCAAATAAAATAGATCAAAAGTAGTAACATGCTCTTGTCTATTTTCTTCAATAATGTTTAGTGGATTTCCTAAAATTCAACAACACTTGCGAATAAAGCACTGTAGAGAATTAATTTTTTAGATTGTACTAGAACGATTGTGCTACTACATAGGTACCTAATTTGCTCGGATCAAGGAATGCAAGTAACAAAACACACTTGTCCACTAATGTGACACCTTGTGCATGAAAAAAAACATTATATCACGCTTACTTCATAGTAGTAGTATGAATTTTAATTATTAAATATTACACCCATTTTTGAAAAGTGTTTTAAATGAATGCTAGAGAGATAATGAACCACTATAATTTTTTTATACAATTTTATTAAAACCGAGTAGTGTCATAAAAATTACTTTTAATCTATCGTTTTAAATTTTCACTTGAAAACGCTAGCCGATATGCTGTTCAACTTGTGATGTCACTGCCCTAGAATTTTGCCGATTTTTCAAAGTAATAAGATACTTTTGGATGTTTAATAATGAGATATCATCTATATCATTATTGTGTTGTGCCTGAATGCAAAACTACGAGCATATGAACGAAGGGGAAATTATGGATTCAAGTGCCAACTGATTAAAATATAAGAAATACTTGGTTAAAACTGGCAAGAAGAGACCCGAAGGCATTGTCTACAAAATCTAAACTATACTTCATCATCACTTTGATATAAGTATGACATGATAGGTGCATGACCTATTACAAGTCAAATTTAGTAATAGGCTAGCTGTTCCCCACGACTTCGCTCGCGTGTTAGGGTTTTTATGTTTTTGCGTGGAACCTTAATTCTTTTTATAATATAAAAGTAGCCTCAGTTACTCCTTATGAAATCAGCTATCTGCCAGTGAAAGTCCCGTCAAAATCGCTCCAGCCGTTTCGGAGATTAGCCGGAACAAACAGACAAACAGACAAAAATTTTAAAAATTGTGTTTTTGTTTTAAGTACTGTATATACTTTCATATGCAATTAGTAAAAAGCTGTAATTTTGACATTACAAACAGACTTCAATTTTATTTATTTGTATAGATTTTGTTAATTGCTCGTCTGTCCCGCCCTTTGTGGGCCATTTTGACAACCCTTGCAAGTGCAGTGCAGTGTTTTACTTAATTCGTGTTTTCTTCTATTATATGGGAATAATGACACAGTTTGTACAAAAAAATGTAACAAAAAGTTTTTCTCACCTAAGCTTATATATCTATAACATTAGTGCTAAAAGCATAGTAATAAACTAGCTTTGATTTCAAATGTCATAAAGATTATTGCATGTTTTAGCTGGAAAATGACAGGGAAAATTACACACAATATAAGATTATGGGTAAATGAATTCGATTTAATAGAATAAATATTAGTACTTTCTGCTTTTACAAATCCGTCTTCCCTGATGCCTTTTCAATAAAATTCGGAATGAAACTCAACAATCGTAATGATAACTTGAAAGATTTCAAAATAACACCACATTATCTAGTTCTCTTAACCAGTGATGTCACAATAGTATCTAATATGACGGACAGCATTTTGTAGATTTGAAGCACAGATAAAAAAAATTATTCTTAAAATTGAAATATAAAATTTATAATGCAAATTTTTGTAAATAGGAATCAATATTTCTCATTTACATTAAATATATTTTTTGATTTTTTTAGATGGTGTAAAATACTCTATTACGAGTTAAATACTATAACTGTTCAGTTTGTTACACATAATATGTTAGGGAATTTATCGATATTTTTATTTGCTTATTACATACCATAAAGATTCCAACAAGTGAGAGTTTACTGTTTATGTTCAGTATGTGAGGTATTGGATGTTGTTTTTAAGGGTTTTTTTTTGTTTGCTGGTTTATGAATGAATTTAATAAAAATCAAATATTTCATGCAAAAGTACTTAGTAAAAATCAGTCAATTTTGATATAACATTATTTAATCCGTATTACTGTATTAATAAATACTACTAGAAGTCTGAACTAGTACATTTGTGCAACTGTATTAGATCAGAGTACTCCATACAGTATTCCAGCAAGAAAAGGTCTTATTTGTATAAGTTTTATTGGAATTGTAATAAATCATAAAAAAGTATTACTTTTATGAAGACCTACCATCTATGTTAGCATCATCATCATCATAATCATGATTAAAATAACAACACCAGAGGCCAAAATAACTACATAAGCCCCCTCAAAGATAGCTTGTAATATATATTTTCATATAGTTGATCCATGTCTCTTAAGGTTATCATTGGTCACACATACTGATTGTACACTTTTATTTTAATATTTTGAGGAATAATGGATAAGAAGTTATGTCATAATAATTCAAGCATAGTGTGCTCAACTACTACAGGCATAGATATGACATGGATATACTTATTGGATTTGGATTTATGATTTTTGTCATGTGAGTGTTATAAAGTTGTATATGGAAGATACACATTCCAATTTTATTAATAGCATCATTATTATATTTATTAAAGTACATGTTTAATTTTTCTCAACAGAGACTAGCCATCTGCACACTGCATGAAGGTGTACTCTCTATTCCTTCACTGATAGTCTGATGCAATGATACTCCAACACCGATTTTTGTTCGAGCGAACAGTTATTAATATAATGTATATATAATAGGTAAAAAATTAAATATGTAAAGCTTCAATAAGTATACATTTGGACTCTGATGCAGTAAATAAAACTTATCGTTTTAAATACTACTTTATTATAAATACAAATTAATCAGTACTGGAATGTTATTAATGTTAAAAAAGTTAATATAATGAAAATGGATAAAGAGCGTCACATTTCAATAAATATTCTAAAGTAATACGTAATACTAACTTGATCAATTTAACAAACAAAATTATCACAAACCTGTGGGTGAGCGCTACACCTTTACAATAACATTTAGATTGCAATTTGCTAAACCAAGAGTAGTTTAATCCTTGGTTAAAATTATAGGCGTAGTCTATTCCTTGAATTACACGTATTTTATATATTTTAATTGGTTATTAACTTATTAAAATAATAATCTAAGGCGATTTCATGAAAACAAACACACTTCCTACTTCTTCTTAATAACTGGCTTTACGGCTCTGGGATCTAGCCCTTCTGAGCCTGAAGTTACAATATATTATAATAATTATCCTTCATAGTATACTGCTTAACAATATGTTGATGCGTCACATTGTGCAGCCCTTGGGAGATTTTGACGGCAATTTGAGCCAGCGGACAGCTGACGGTTGGCGATGGTATCTCAAGGCGCCTAAGCAGACAAACACCTTATTTTGAGAATCACATTACCATCAGAGCACTTGTTTCACAGTTTCCACTAATAGTTCACATGCGCAGACACTTAATACACAAAATGGCACCACTTTTACATATCAAAGTCCACTTCAAACCATTATTTAAACAATAATACAGGAACAGCAAACCGCCGCCGGTCCAGTTCCCGCCAAAACCCCCACACACATAATATATATACATGTTTAATAAGTAAATATGTTAGAAATAGAAATATAAGCTTTTTGCAATTTGCTGATGATCTCCTTGTATATACTGTAAATAAAGATGTAAATATAGCGGTAAACAATTTAAATTTAGCATTAGAGCAAATTCATGATTTTTATTCAAATAAGTTGAAATTAAACATTAGTCCTAGTAAAAATGGAGCTCTCATTTTTTCCAAAAAATATTATACATGTGATAATTTTGTAAAATATAATAACATACCATTGCCTTGGTTACAGAAAAAAAAATTTTTAGGTATATTGCTTGATCAAAAGCTAACTTTCCAAGAACATGTAAATAATCTGTGTAAAAATGCCTGTAGGGGTCTCAATGTATTAAAATCATTTGCAGGTGTGCATTGGGGAGTTGACCCAAAGTTGTTATCAATGCTTTATAAAAGTATAGTCCGAAGTCATTTTGAGTACAGCACATTAGCATAGTTAAATGCAAACAGATTGATTTTAAAGAGATTAGATATAATTCAGAATAAAGCGTTGCGTATAATAACGGGGGCTATGTGCTCTACACCAATCCATGTAATGGAAGTAGAAAGTTGTATTCCTCCACTTTTACTAAGAAGGCTACAAATTGCTGAATGATTTTGTGTTAAATTAATCAGTTCAAAAATGATTTAGTTTTAAAAAAAAATACTTCCTTATGAAGTTCCTGAGTTTGGTGATAACTCATACATTGATGTAAATATGCTTTTATCTGGTCGATTACCAGACATCCTAAGGATTGTTTTGTACTCACAGACCCAAATCAAAAATGTGTATAAAAGTAAACCATGGCTTTTATATAAAATAGAATATGATGATTTACTGAACATTAATGTTTTTGTATGTCAAGAAAAAGTGAATTCTCAAATGGAAATGTTAAGATATCTAGCTGATAATGATTTTTATACAATATATACAGATGGATCAAAATCTGAAGAGTACACAACGTCAGCATATTATAATTCACAAAAGAAAATATCTAAAACTTTTAAAATTCCCAATTTATGCTC